ACAGAGGACATCAGAAGTATATGATATGATGAATTTACAGCATGTAAAGGGGAATTTTGTAGAATGTAAAAAAAAAAGCAAAGCACTCTCAGAAAGAAGAAGAACGAAAATTGAAAGTCTTAAGATTAATAAGTGAATCTAAAACATGAAGCAGACACACAAACACAGAGACAGTAGTCTTTTAAGACTTGAGAGTGTTAATCAGAATCAGTTGATTTGACCAGGCCGTCCTGAGCTGTAAGGTTGTCTTGGTCTCCTCCTTACCAATCTTGTAACCATCGCCACAAATCCTGTTTCTTGAACCTAAATAATCAAACATATATATCAGCTTTTATTACATATATTATGACTTCTATCACATCAAATTCAATTAGAGACTACTTCCTAGATTCCTAAATTAACTACTTCTTTTCTCCAAGTTTAATTCTTAAACTATGTATTTCTCAAGCTGATGCGCTATACTCCGGTTTAGCTTGATTTGCTAATACCGTTTGGTGTAACTATTTACTATGTTTTGATAAGAAGAAAAAAAAAATCAAGTTGGCCAGATTGAGAGAGTATAGGGAAGCTTACGATTTCATTTCCAGGGTCTTCTGATGATGTTGATGGTGGCGATGAAGATGATGAAGAGGGTGATACTAATGTTGACTCAAGACCAAGACACTTAAGTATGGCTTGAACAGTTTTGTGAAAGGCAGAACATGGAGAGTTGAGAAGAGAGTGATAAACTTCTTTATCTTCATCTTCTCTTCTACTTCTTCTCTCTTCTTCTTCTACATTAACTTCCATTTTTTTTGTTTCTCTTCTTAATTGTTGTTCTTCTTCTTCTGCTCAATGCAATAAGTGTTGTGTCTCATTTGACCTTACCTGCTTCTCTGTGTTCTTACACACACACCCTACCTTGCATTTAATACCTCTATTTTTTTACTTTTCTATTCATAAATTTTTACGTGTTTTTTTAATAGTAAAGATAAGCAGAGTGGCAAATTAACCAAACCGCATTAACAATCAAACCGGTTCACTTTTCTTTATTCGAAAGAACCGCAACATGTAATATGAATCACGAGGATAAGGAAAGTAACGAACACATATTTATAAATTGAATCCGTGTAGAATCAAATCAAGAAAAGTTCAAATCTTACATCGAAAAGCAAGAAAACCCATAAACCAAAAATCGATTAGAGAGTTGGATTATGGTGCATTCTAAAGATAACAATAAAGATACTTACCAAAAAAAAAGATAACAATAAAGATATTAATTACGTATTAAATACACATTTTTGGGTTGATCTGAAATTAGATTGATGGCAAACTGAGAGAGCTTTGTTTCTTACTGTTGATGATTTTCCTTATGGATCTTTATTTTTGTCGTCCTCTTTACCTCTTTGGACCAAGTTTCCATTTGCAAATAGAGACTTCCACTCTTACGAAAACACAAATAAATGTTCGTATTTATTATTCTCTCAGCCTTTTGTTTTGTCTTCTTTTGTTACGGCCTAAGAATAATAATGATTATTTTTTGTTCTTTGTTGAATTGTATTTTTTGGTATATTTAATTATTGATCAACGTCTTGTTATAGTCTGTTTTATCTGAAGATAGAGACTTCAACGTTACAAACTATACTCTTAAATTACTGTGACTTGTTTTAAGAAACTATTTTCCGTCTCGTCTCTACTCACTTGTCTTTTATTCTTTCCCGAACCAAACACATTGATATTAGTGTAGTTTAACTCAAATAATGATGCAGTGTTAGGAATGTTGATACCATATTCTAGAATGAATTGTAAGAATTAAGATAATCGAAATTGTATAGTTTAACTATTTAAGTACGGTGTGAAAACCAGTTGAGCAGAAAACTAATGAGAAAAATAATATCGAACTTTTTCTCCTAAACGAAGAGAGATATTTTATCATCTAGGACAAATGATAAGGTATGGAGCTTTATGGTCATTGCTTGTATCATGTCATGTATGTAACATTAATAATGTTTCTTTATCTTTGTCGCGAGATTCATAAATTTTATTTAACCTTGGAACTTGTTCACATTCACACGCAAACATGCAAAGTCATACATATATTGGTACGTAAGAATAAAAAGTTTACTATTGCTTGTATGATATTTTCTCAAGATCACTAGGGGCTCTTGATGGGCCAAGCTTGTTGGTTTATATATCTGAAGTTACTTAGTCCGGACCAAATATATCGTATCGTAGGTTGCTTTGACTACAAGAAATGATGAAAACTTGGAAAAAAAGGCGACAAATTGAATTGTTTGTTTTGAACTGTTTAAAAGTTTAAGCATATGTGGAACAGCAGTCAATAAGTAACTCACGGAACTTTTGATCTACATAGAAATTAGTAAACCATCAACAAACTAGTGAATACATCCATTAGTATGTTTTTGTTTGATAAGACAAGAGATCAATTTGGCACGCATCAAGTTGGACATAGATCTCTTTAATAGAGATTTACAGCCGATGACACTAGTACGTTGACCTATACAAACGACTACGACTTCATATTTTGACATATTGCACTATTTTTGGTAACTATCGGTTGATTTGCTTTCACATGTTTTGAAATTAACAGCTTTGTTTTCTACTCTTAAAAATAGAGCTCAGAGCTGGCTGATTAGACTTCATAATAAAACAACAACTATATATAAACTATAACCAATGTGCACACAAAAATTTAGAATTTTTTTCTAAACCATTCCAATTTCTAACAAAAACAAAATTAGAAAACCAAACAAAAGTCCTAAAACTCAAAGGTGAGAAAACAGTGTGAATTAATCTTATTCAAAAATAGAAAGACGAGACATATTCAGTAGAGAACGCCGTCGTATCCTCATTTACGTCTCGGTCGTTAATGAGGGAGTCACGGCCAAGGCTAAGCGGTGCCTCTTCCTCCACCGACTCATTTTCAACCCCTTCGGCGTCTCCAACACCATCACCGTCTCCGGCACCACAACGTCAGCACAACACGTTACTCGAACCATCTCATCAAAACAAGAAAAAGGGGAAGAAAGTCTTCCGAGTCTTCCGCTCCGTTTTCCGTTCTTTTCCGATCATCACACCGGCGGCTTGCAAGATCCCCGTCCTCCCGGGCGGTAGCTTACCTGACCCGCATAGAGGCGGGTCAAGCGGGTCTAGAGTCACGGGAACCTTGTTCGGATACCGTAAAGGCCGCGTAAGCCTCTCAATTCAAGAAAACTCTAGATGTTTACCATCTCTCGTCGTCGAGCTAGCGATGCAAACAATGGTGCTACAAAAAGAGCTAAGCGGAGGAATGGTAAGGATCGCTCTGGAGACGGAGAAGCCAGGTGATAAAGAGAAGACCAAGATCATGGACGAGCCGTTATGGACAATGTATTGTAACGGCAAGAAAACGGGGTACGGTGTGAAACGTGACGCGACGGAGGAAGATCTTAACGTGATGGAGTTGTTGAGACCGGTTTCGATGGGTGCAGGTGTTTTGCCTGGAAACTCGGAGGTTGAAGGACCTGACTCGGAGATGGCTTACATGAGGGCTTACTTCGAACGAGTCGTTGGGTCTAAAGATTCAGAGACTTTTTACATGTTGAGTCCCGAAGGGAATAATGGACCCGAACTTAGTATCTTCTTCGTAAGAGTATGATTTGTTGTAATATGGTTCCATGGAGATGCATCTCTGGTTTGTGGATTGGTGATTGATGTAGTGTGGATATATGATCATCATCATGATGATGGTATTTGTGTATATGTGGGTCGTTTTGGTGGTGAGAAATATGTGAATGGATTTGGAGGTCATGTACTTTTTAGGATGATTTATAAGAAAACATTTCAGGTTACTTGCCAATTTATGTTAGGTTTACATATATATCGAGTGGTATTTAGTTATAGCTTATGATAAAACATTTCCACTTTGTTTTATCAACGACGTTATGATCTATGCGTTTATAGAAACGCTATTGAACACATATAGTAGCCTTGTCGTGAGCTAAAAGTATGCATTTCTTATACGAAATGTTCTGATTCCATTCTATCAAACTCGGTGGTTGAATACATAAATTGATTTTCAAATGCATTGGTTCCATTTTACTTGTGGCATGAATAACAACAAATATTTTTATTCAAACTTTGTTAGATTGTATGGTTGAATATATTGATTTCATATAATATTTATATACATGTCCATTTCAAATCAAATCACACCTTATGATAACAATCGATCCTACTTAGACTATCTTACTTAGTCAACAATCTAGATTTTCATACCACATATATGGATTTCTTATTTAAAATCAATTGATCAGGAATCTGTTCAATCAATTTTCTTATGGTTCATGATACTTTCTCTATGCATCTAATCTCTTATATATATGTGAGTGATATTCATTAGTAACGACTGCAAAACAACTACATCCAATAGAACTAAACTTTTCATTAACTCTACAGATTTATCATCAAAAATGGTTAAAGCCACCGTTCTTGCTATTTTCATGGCCGTTCTCGTTCTAGGTCTGATTTACACTTACAATATACTCTTATGTTTCTTCTTTTTATTTGATGGTGCTTTTTTATAACCAAAAAAAAAATGAAATGATATATAGGGACATTGACTGTCATGAATATATCACAGGACAAGTACCTTGTATACCTTCAGAGTGTGATGCTCAGTGTAAGTTGAACTGGCAAGGATCAGGCACTTGTCTTGCACAAAGCAAAACCTGCTTCTGCGTTTGGCACTGCAGAAATTAATTGTAATCTTTTAACCACACTCCTATCATCAAACATAATTTAATAAAATAATCAGTTGAACAAAATATTGCAATCTTTTTTTTTTAATTATTTGACATCTTAACATAAACTATAAAACTACCCAAAATCATATAATTACATCTTAAGATGATATTGAAAATGAACGTTAGTGAACCAATCTGTAACATTCGAGTGAAAAGTACGTTACTGAGCCCAAAGTAAGCCACGTCGAACAATATCTTTGCCACCTCACAAAAAACGACACGACGTGTACACTTAAGTCACCATGAAGATTCCTTTCTTTTCACTCATACACTTTTTCTTGCTAAGATTCCTCGTATTATCCATCGGAAAATGGCTATGGCTACGCGTGCGATTCGATACCAGTTACCGTTTCCGAGATCGACGGTTCCCAGATGCGAATCTTCGGAACCGACTAAGCAGATCCAGATCCAGCAGCGACCGAGAGGCGGCGATTTGGCCGAGAACGGTAAGATCGTGCTCCAGCCGAGGCTTTGCACGCTGAGATCTTATGGATCGGAGATGGTCGTCGCTAGAAAAGACGGCGGAGATGGTGGAGGAGGAGGAGGAGGATCTGAGCCGGAGTTAGCGTCGCCGTTTTTCGAAACGCTCACTGATTACATTGAGAGCTCGAAGAAAAGTCAGGACTTTGAAACCATCTCCGGTCGACTCGCTATGGTAAATTAAAAAAAAAACTCCGATCTCGATGAATTCCTCAAAATCTGAGGAAATTTCGTAATTTTCAGATTGTGTTCGCGGCGACGGTGGCGGAGGAGGTTGTTACGGGGAACTCGTTGTTCAAGAAACTAGACGTTGAAGGATTGAGCGAAGCCATTGGAGCAGGTCTTGGAGCGATGGGATTCGCCGCCGTATTCGCCTGGTTAACGATATCTCGGAACCGAGTCGGAAAGATCTTCACAGTGAGTTGCAACTCGTTCATTGACTCGTTGGTTGACCAGATCGTCGATGGGTTGTTCTACGACACCGAGCCTAGTGATTGGTCCGACGAAATTTAAAAATGTTAAATACCACTAGAAATGTATAATCACTGTACACTTTTCGTCTACAATAGTAGTTTTGATGTTTCAATAATCGTTTCTTCATGGTTTGCTTGAAGATGATATTGAAAGTCTGTAACTTTTACGTCTATATATAAAGAAAGATATGTAGTTTCTTTGTGAATCAATTTACATTGTTCTTAGGAGTTTGATCGATCAAAAGAGACAATGGAAATTGTTTATGGTATGAGCCTAGGAAGCTGTCTCAATGGTCTTGATGCATTCAAGAACACCTGCTTTGTTGGACATTGCAGCCATTAGAGCTTCATGTATGGTCTTGTTGTTCTTCAGAAGCGAAGCAGAGTACAGAACCTGCATAACCAAACCAAAAATTCATTAGGAAGAAACATTTAGAAGAGATTGAAGTCTGGTTTTGTAAGAGAAACTCACAGCCCATCTGGTTAGATTTTGCTGCTGGTCATTGCTAATTTTGGGTTGGCTTCTGTTTATGAATCTCTGCGGCAAACAAGAAACACAGACAAAAGCTGTAATAACTTAATGTTTGTGAACTTTGTGAGTGTGATGAGATAGGAAGTAACTAGAAGACCTGAAGAGAGAACAAATCCGCAGATTGGCCGATGACTTTGTCGTACTTGAGACCCTCGGCGGCAAGTCCAGCCATTGCAACAGCAGCTAACCTGAGAAACAGAAGAAGATTCAATGTATTGAGAGGTTTTGATTCTTCTTTCTCTTATTGACATTGAAGAAGAAGCTCTAACCTATCAAGCTCCTTGGAGTCAAGCTGGCCGCTGTATATAAGTTTAGCTAGTCTCTCATCAATGAGATTGACGTGTTCTTTACCGATGTCTAACGAGTACCCGAAGATTGGAAGTCCGATTAGATAAGCCACTGGAGGAGGAGATGTAGGTTCCAAAATAACACAATCAGCAACATTGCATAAACCAAAATGGATTTAAAACTTTTTTTAAAAAGGTAAAACCTAAGAAGTGAGCTGCTTCATGTCCGGCAATACGTTCTTGATAATCAGGGAAGAATGTCGAAAAGCTAGATATAGCAGCTTGAAGTAACCTACAAAACAAAAGAGCAGAAGATAAACATCAATAATAGAGTTAATGAAACAGAGCAAAACAGAGTGTTTTAGTTATTGTCTCTTTACCCTGGTGAAACGCTTCCCACAGCTAAAACTACCAATGAAATGCTCCCAACTAAGTAAGGCACAAAGAATCCCCAATCCTGTCCAGATTCAACACTTGGTCTGAGACACAAACATAGAAACCTAACACAATCGATTCAAAACGTTTAAGAAATGAGTTTTTGAAGGTTTACTCCGGGAAGTTGGCCGGCAATTACAGCTATGAACCCGGTTGTTCCGACTACTGTGAAAAGAAAAGCCGCCTGCATCAGAACAAGCTCCATTAACACACACTGTAACCTCAAACGAAGTCTTTTTGAGTGAAAAAAGACATAACTTACATCGTTCCTGACACTAGGGATGGCGAGAGTCTCTGCGTTCTTGATTCCGAGAGTTGTTAGCTCCCGGAGCGATGTCTGATACAAAAAAAAACACTCATTCACTCATTGATTCTTAGATTGAACATGAGAACAAACAAAGACAAACGAGAACTTAAGCATTGTTAAGATTAGACAGAGAGATCGATATACACCGTACGGCGCGAAAGGTAAGGCTGGGAGCTCCATTTCTTAGCCCAACCTTGTTCACTCAACCGATCCAGAGCTTCCTTAACTCCATTACTATCTTTCTGCTTTCACCCATTTTCAAAATTTACGCTTTTAAGCAGATTTCATCGAATAAAAACGAAAGCTTCATGTACAATCAGAAGTGAATCAAGCAAGGACCTTGTCAATGGCGGATTCTAAATAAATTTTGCTAAAATTGTGGCTTGCACGCCCAAAAGTTTCATTGTCAAATGGCCAGGTTTCAAAGAACCAAATCGAATAATTTTGTGAAATCCTTTTTATCACAAATGTTTTTAGACAATTCATACAAGCGAAATCTTCCTTGTCAGGAGAGAAATTGCATCATTCACGAAACCCTCACTTAGTTGTGAGATAATCGAATCCTGAGAAAAATACTTCTGAAAGTGAGTGGGATAGTATATATAATAAGGCTCCTTCGAAAGAAATGAGATTTAAACATGAAATTAATAAATACTTCTCCATTTCTGTTTTGAATTTAGTTCACGACAATTAACTCTATTTTGAAAGACGAATCATTAGTTAATTTATTATTAGGTTGGTATCATCTGTCTAATTAATTGTTAAAATATGTTATGGCAAAGGGTATGATTAGGAGACATAATTTAGGCGTAAGAGTACTTTACAAAGAGGCAGAAGAAAGAATAGTTGCAACTTTTTTTTGTTGGGGTGCAAATGTGAAGAATAGTTGAATAGTTACAGCTCTTACCTTCTGTACTTGTTGAAGACTATTAATTGCTGTTGTTGAAATATGAAAAACATTTGTAAAATATATTCTGCTAATAAGGTTACGTTCTTTTGTGATATAAAACAGATTATATTTCTCTTCGTACTCAAACAGATTCATGACTTATAATATTTTTTATCACTTAAATTTTTCGAATCCAACATTTTCTGAATCGAACATACTGTATTTCGAGTTTGTTTGGGGATTGGGATATCAATATTCAAGCTTAGATAAATTTAAATATTTATTTGATTGTTAATTTAGTTAATATTGCTTGTATTTTTTCAAATATTTGATTATGGTTGATTGTTTTATTATTATTAGATGCATAGCAAAATAAAATATGAGATATTTGATATCAAGAATATATTATATTTCCAAGAAAAAAACAGATATATATGGGTCAAAAATGTTATTTGAATTAATTTTGAACTTTATAAAAATAAAATAAAATCTGTCCAAATTAAAACCCATATGTTGTATATTGTAAAATAAAATAAATATTTTAAAAGATATAATATTATGGGATAATTTAAATTTTAATTATGAATGTTAATGTACCGCGCGTTGACGCGCAGGTTCCATTCCTAGTAAGTATAATAATAATCAGTATAATACGTTGAAGCCATATGAATTACAATGTAGAAGTTTCTCTCGTTTTTGGACTGTTTGCCCAAATATGAAAATTGGTGACATGTAGTGTTCTTAGATATATTTGGGTTTTAATGAGTTTTCGTAGATTCATGGGAAACCTATGTTCCTTAACTAGATCTTAATTATTTTCCTTGGTAGCTCAATACAAGTCTAAGAACAATTGAAATATGCTTAGAGTCTTTATAAATAAAAAGTAGTTGGTTTCCTCAAACTTCATAAAGTCCAGAATATTACTCATCATGAATCTTCTATATACATCAGAGCCTCCAAAACACACAAAAACACCACCTACAATATTTTGCATAAGTTGGATGGAGTTAAATCCCCATACTTTTTTTTTTGGTAGCAAAATCCCATTCTATCATACTTTAGAAGTAACCCAAATCATCGACAAGTAGTAACTATAAAATAAATAAACAAGCTACAAAATACAATATTCTTAATACTCTGATATATATACATGAAATTATTATGTACGGCTTAATTTGAAATTCACCAAAGATAATGTTGTTAGTACTTTGGTTACCTAAAACTAACAGGAGTATGATTAGTTGATTACTAGTTTACTACTACTATCAGGACTATGATAATTTCCTTTTTATAATATAAAGAGGTACAAAACCTTCTAACATTCTATCAACTAAGATTTTCTTCATCCGCATAGTTTCTTGAATATCTCTCTCTCCATATACTCCTGAATCTTCGTTTCATATAATCAGAAAAATAACGAGCATTAGCTCAAAACACAATGATATCGATGAATCGTCGTCTATCGTGTCTATTTTTTGGTTTGGCCTTAAGCCTAACCATGATGAGTAACACAGCCTTGTCGTCCCACACAAGCACCGTGTCGATCAGAAACTCCCTGCCTAGCCACAAAGATCTCAAAGTCCAATGCCAATCCTTTAGCCAAGATTTGGGATACCATATAGTGCATCCCACAGGATCCTACACTTTCCGTTACGCAGAATGGGGTCAAGGTGATGACGAGCACAAATTCTGTCGTCTATGGCAAGGACCTAACTTCAAGCATCACCAAGTCTTTGATGTTGACAATGGCGACGTATGGGAAGCTAGAGAAGACGGTATATACCTATCTTTGGATCACTTGGAGGATCACCGTGATCAGTTTGCGTTCCTGTATCCTTGGGATGATGTTCCTTTATTATCATCAAAAGCTTCTTCGTTGGGATCAAGTTACATCTCTTTGATCTTGTTGTTTAGCTTCTTCCTTGTTTTTCTTTGTTTTTTTTTTTTTTAGTTTTGGGTTAGTTTAGAGTTTTGATTTTGATTTTCTTTTTGTGTTGGAAGATTTTTCTACCGAGATTGAAATTGGAGTGTGTTTATTTTGTTTTTCTTTCTTATATTAACTCGTTCTCTATATTCAAGAGTAGGGTTACTTTATTTGTTGCAATGTTGGAACAGCAAAGTGTTAAGTTACATGGGCTTCCAATTCAAAACCAATTGGCAATGAGTGGAGAGGCCCACATCCCTTATATACTACTTGAGATCCCTTCCAATTTCCGATGTGGGATATTTATCCCTAATATACCCCCTCGAGACGATGGCCAGAGTGGAGAGGTCCACATCCCTTATATACTACTTGAGATCCCTTCCAACTTCCGATGTGGGATATTTATCCCTAATATGCCCTCTCGAGACGATGGCTATTTGGCCATCGATCTCGGTATGTTCGGACTTGGATCGCCAGCACCAATTTTGGGCATAGTTGATGATTGGACCAACTATGGGTCGGATCGGGTTGGAATGTATGGATCGGGGCTCTGATACCATGTTAAGTTACATGGGGCTTCCAACTCAAAATCAATTGACAATTGACAATGAGTGGAGAGGCCCATATCCTTTATATACTACTTGAGATCCCTTCCAACTTTCAATGTGGGATATTTATCCCTAATACAAAGGACTAGGTCGAGTGGATGTAAATCGGAATAGACGTAAAATAAAAGACTACTGAGTTTCACTTTAAACCATATGATATCGATTTTTGTATTTTAACTAATAAACTCAACCAAAACACATGAAGGCCTTTTAACAAAAGAAAAAATAACTCAACCAAAACACTTAAAATTTGAACAGCTCCAAGCTAAAAATGTTTCAACAAGAATGGATTTGAAAGTTTATTTTAATATCAATATTCCAATAATAAAGAAATTTTAAAAACTTTTAAAATTTGAATAACATAAATTCTTGATTGGATAGAAAGAACCCAAGTCGGTAGATGCATCAAATTTCAACACTGAAACGGGTATTTAAAATGGGCCAATGGGCCCATGAACTTTCTTAGTACCTTCGACTCCACAAACAGCGTGTAGTTTTATTGTACTTCACGAAACAGCGTGTAGTTTATAAAATTCTGTTTGAACTACGCATTGCTTTTCTCTCCGAAGCCCTAGTTCCCAATTTTCTGTTTCTTCTGTATAAAAGGCGTGAGAAAGTTTGACAATTGAAATCATCGTATTAGGGTTAATCGTTCTCAGCCGACTTAGCTTTTCTCTTCTCTCTTTTTTTTTTTTTACTTTATTTTGCTTTCTTCCTCTGGTTTTTAAAGTTTCTTTTATGTTTGGACAGTGACGATTGATATTAAGGTCTCGTTCGTCGTAATATCGGCCTTAACCATCCGATTTGCCGACCATTCTGTTATATCACCACCCATATTCTGAGTCCCATCTTCAATTTTTGTTTTTTTAAATCGATTTTGGCCGATGATTTAAATAAATTTTGACAAGCATATGTCTGAATTAATCCTTGTTGATAATATCTAATCTTCTCTATGAGGCCTATTGTTTTGCAAATATCAAAATCCGATTTCGTTTCGTCGACAATTCTGTGTTTGATTCTGTTTTGGTTGATTATAGTTTGACTGTAATGGCCTGTGATATAAATAATTTTGACAAGCATATGTCTGAATTAAAATTGTTGAACAACATAATCTATGAGGCTTATTTTGATTCATTGAAATTAGATCTTTTAGATTTTTTTTTGTTATGATTTACAAATCGTTGTAAAATAATTTGACGAGAAAAGAAGAAAGGGAAGGGATCAAGTGATGATTGATAACGCATAGTTCATATGATAAAAATCAATATGATTAAGATCTTCAGCACAGTCTTTCGCTCCTATCTGATGATCCTTCCCAATAAATTCTTTTCATGTATTTTAAATTTTATTATCTACAAAGTGCGTTTTAAATTGATTTTTTTCTAATAAATTTGTATTTTATCTTAAACATGTCAAACCTTACTTCTATTGAAGAAATTCGGACTGTTAATCTTGGTTGTCAGTACCTATTTAGATGGAAGTTAATAAAAGTCACTATAAAAGAGCAGATCCGTGTATGCATGTATCTTTAATCACCGTTATCAGTACTAAAAGATAATAAACAATGACGATTAAAAAACGAGAAGAACAAAATGAATATTAAGGACTGAAAATAAATATGTTGTACCTTGTTACCTACATAGATTGACGAAAAATTAAACAGTAAAAACTTGCTACCAACTTGATATCAGTGACTAAATTATTAAGGGGATGACTGATAGGAGCTGTTCTCCACAGCTCTATATCTTTCTACAGCACCTCCAAAATTACCAATAATGTTCTCTTTTTATCTCTTTCCATTTTTGAAACATAGAGCAATTTTATTTATTTATGGAAGTTCTGTAGCTGTGGAAAACAATATTTTTCTAGAGCAGTAAGGGGATGATTGGTAGGAGCTGTGGTTGCTCTCCACAGCTCTATATCTCTCTTCAGCACTCCAAAATTATCAATCATGCTCTTCTTTTATCTCTTTCCATTTTTGAAACATAGAACAATTTTATTTATTTATGGAAGTTGGAAGTTGTAGCTGTGGAAAGCAATTTTTCTAGAGCACTAAATTTAGTGCTCTCTAAATTCTCTTTCTTCTCTTTCCTTATTATTTTGTCTATATTCTTTTTTTAATCTCTTATTTCTATATCTTCTTTTTTGTTTTAATATTTCATTTAATACACAATCTACAAAAAAAAAATAATCTTACAGCACTAAAAACTAAAGCCACAGCACTAAAACCTATAGCCAAAAATCTAAAGCCACAACCACAACCAATCAGGCCATAAATTTAGTGCTCTCTAAATTCTCTCTTTTCTCTTTCCTTATTATTTTGTCTATATTCTTTTTTTAATCGCTTATTTCTATATTTTTTTTTGTTTTAATATTTCATTTAATACACAATCTACAAAAAAAGAAAAATCTTACAGCACTAAAAAATAAATATCCACAACCAATCAGAAATCTAAATAAATATTCACACTACTTGGCCGATTGTTTTGTAATTTTCGCTACACTTTTAGTCATCGGATTTTGGATTATATTGTTTGATGATTGGAGGAGACGCTGTTCAGACTCAGCCCGGTAACCACGCATTGTCATGACTTATGTATGTATACGTAAACCAATAGTCCGTGCCTCAAGTGTACCCCTAAGGAGGTAATAGCAAACAAAGTAAGCATTGAAGTAACGGTTTAAGAGCATATAGGACTGTTATGATTCGGCATCTCTTCACTTGAAAGACTTTACTATTGTGCACGTTGAACCGAAGACAATATCGATTCTCTCAAGGAAAAACTGCATTTAGAATTGTATTTCATATATAAAGAACATATATTCTTGTTTCATTAGGTTGAGAAAGAAAATAGTGTTTTCTTGGTAACGAGAGTTTATATGTCTTATGCTAGTGAATTCTATGAGGAATGTTTTCGGTTTGTCTTACTCGTATCTTTAGCGGACGTACACGTGAAGGTCTTAAATATTTTATACGTTATGAAAATTGAAAAATTTCTGTTTCTGTTTCACAAAATCTTATACTAGATAGAACAAAATTTTATTTGGTTGTATTAAAAGTTGGTTTTAGTTTGGTTTGGTTCGATTTTTCTATGTGATGAAAGGAGAATGGACAGAAGAAACCAACCAAGTTGGTCAACACAATTAACCAATTTGTAGCATGTAATTAAACATATTGAAGTACCGTAACTAGCTTTAGTTAATACAAATCTATTCTCCCTTTTTCTCTTCTTTATTCCCTCCCACAACATAGTATCTAGACTTAAACCAAATAAAAAACAAAATTCAAACTTTTCGGTTACAATGTCAAAACGTACAAACTATTATGTAACTGACACAATAAACTGGCGACAAATGGTAACCAAACCTACGCATGTATCCATTTCCATATTTTGTTCCCATGCATACACAGAATACAATATTTATGAGCACGAGAACATACAAACATATATAGATAGATTTTAAGTTTTTAACACACACACACAAAAGAAAAATGAAGATGTACCCAAAATCTGACTCAGACATGACAAGCCCTGACCTATCATCATCATCACCAAAACGTCCCACTTACTACGTTCAAAGCCCATCTCGTGACTCCGACAAGTCTTCCTCCGCTGCCTTAACTCATCAAACCACTCCCTCGGAGTCTCCGTCACACTCACACCCATATTCGTTTGCTAGCCGCGTATCCAACGGCGGTGGCGGAGGATTCCGGGGGAAAGGACGTAGGAAATATCACCGAGGAAGATGGTCGCCGCCGGCTGATAAAGATGAAGTTGGTGGTGATGGACAGTACGAGGATGCTTATGGAGACAACAACAGAGGAATCTCAATCGCTACTTGTAGATTTATTCTAGGAGTTGTTGCGACATTGACACTCTTTTTTCTTATCTGTTCTGTTCTCTATGCGGCTTCTCAATCCTTCTCTCCGATCGTCTACGTCAAGGTACTTTCATCTTTGACTTATTACATTGCAAGAATCACTTAGGCTACGACTGTTTCAAGCATCAATTAAGTTATATAATTTGCATTTGCGTTTACAAAAACCAAATCAATTTTTGTTGTTGTTGTGCATGTACATAGAAAGAATCACTTAGAATGCATTTGTTTCAAACACTAATTAATTATTTGTATGCATTTGCGTTTACATGTGATAATACTTTTTTTCTTCTTAAATAAATCACATTCTTAAAGAACTAACTATTTGTGTGTTTTCATAAAATATTTTGGATTAGTAATTTCGTTTACAATTAACAAAAATGGTTTTTAACAAAAATAAAGTAACAAAAATGGTTTAAAATGCTAAAAATGATTTTGCGTTTGCTTTTACAATATTTAATAGAGTGTTTCCTTTCAAATAATACCAACAACATTTAATATTTAAAACAAAAGCATAAATTAGCCATTGAAACAATCACAACTTAAGTCTAGATAAAGTTCTATAAGTGTGTAACTTTGGACATGCATGTGTTAAATAGGGTGTGAATGTGCATAGTTTTTACTACTGGGAAGGTTTAGACAGCACAGGAGTTCCAACAAAGATCATCAACATCAAATGTTCAATGGAGATCACAACACACAATCCTTCGACATCTTTCGGCATCCACGTCAGCTCCTCTGATTTCAAACTCATCTACTCTCGTCAATTCACACTTGCCATTGCTCCGTTAAAGAGTTATTACCAACCAAAAGAGAGTAACCACACGTCTAGAATCAACCTCGTTGGCTCCAATGTTCCACTCTATGGCGCAGGAGCCGACTTAGCTGATTCAGACCATAACGGTGGAGTTCCAGTGAAGTTGGATTTCGAGATCCGATCACGTGCTAATATTGTCGGAAACATGGTCAAGTCTAGGCATCGGAAACACCTATCTTGCTTCTTCTTTATCTCCTCCAACACCACCAAATTTGTAAAATTCACCAACAAGACTTGTAGTTACTAAAAAGTTTCTTCATCATTTTGTTACTGTAATATACTTCTTTGATCTCTCTCAGTTTCAATATGCATCGTTTTTAGAAGAATTTTTCTAGTTGCATAACAAATATCGTTTCAAAAATTTAATCTAATATTTTTGTCGTAAAACTAGTTACCCTAGTCAAAATAAATCAAAATTTCAAGAGTTTGATGATATATAAAATGTTAGTTCAATAATTCGTGTGAAAATGTGAAAATGGCACTTATATAGTTATATTGAACAAATGAATTAATAACCTTAACTGTCTTTTATTTGTTTTCACTAAATTCATTTTATGGGTTTAATCAACTTGTGAAGCAGAATGTCAAAGGTACATTCTTTTTCGGATCTAATAAAAAGAATTGGAATTGATATTTTTTCAAGAAAAGAACCAATCGTAAATACTAATAGAGTAGATCAAGCAGAAAAAAATGGGAGAACTTTTCTTACTTCTGACTACTAAAACAAAATAACAAAAACAGAGTTGTTCTTGAGCAAAACCAGTAAACAAAAAAAAAGAAAACAAGATGATGGATGCAACGTCAGAATCAGAGAGAAACAGCTTAGACCTATCGATCTCATCACCAAAACAAGCTTACTACGTTGAGAGCCCCTCAAGCGTGTCCCAAGTATACGACGGTGACAAATCCTCTTCCTCTGCCTCCCTCATTCAGATTCAAACCCCAAACTACACCATCCTCACAGAGTCACGTCTCTCTTCTTCAAGCCGCACATCCAATGGCACAAGCGGTGTTGGATTCCGGTGGAAAGGAAGCTCCCGGAGGAGAGACCTGTACTGGCTTGAGAGGCCTTACACGATCGACGAAGAGGAGGAATTTAACGAAGAGAACAGAGGATTGTCTGTTGGACAGTGCAGAGCCGTTATGGTTGTTTTAGGGATTGTTGTTCTCTTCTCTGTTTTTTGCTCTGTTCTGTGGGGAGCTTCTCATCCTTTCTCACCTGTCGTCTCTGTCAAGAGCTTTAACCTCCATAGCTTTTATTACGGAGAAGGAATAGACAGAACAGGAGTCGCCACCAAGATTCTTACCTTTAACAGCTCAGTGAAAGTGATGATAGACAGTCCTGCTCCTTACTTTGGCATCCATGTCTCTTCTTCTAACTTCAATCTCACTTTCTCTGCTCTCACTCTCGCCACTGGTCAGGTAAATTCACTCACTGCTGCTCCTATGTTACATCATCATCAAAATCTGATCTTTTCAAGTTTTGTGTTTGTGAAGCTTAAGAGTTATTACCAACCAAGAAAGAGCAAACACACAGCCATTGTGAAGCTCATAGGCGCAGAGGTTCCTCTCTATGGAGCAGGACCAAACTTAGCTGCTTCAGACAAGAAAGGAAGAGTTCCAGTGAAGCTGGAGTTTGAGATCAGATCACAAGGGAATCTTTTGGGGAAGCTTGTCAAGTCTAAGCACTTGAATCACATCTCTTGCTCTTTCTTCATCTCCTCCAAAACCTCCAAACCAATAGAATTCACTCACAAGACCTGTAAATTCACTACCAAGTGAATTTTGTCTCTCCACTTTGTTTAACCAATTCAAATGTGCAATCTTTTTTCATTCATAAGAAAGCTACATTGATCTCGTTTCTATGTGCACAAATGTTACAAAAAGGAAAGAGATGCCGAATCAAAAACGTTTTCATTATGATTGCTTATCAACAGCACATCCACCTTCAAGCACTGTCCCGCTTACTCTGTTCGGTGGCCAATACCGGAAAACCGACCGTCCTATAATGTTCTTCAAAGGCAGAGGACCCCTGAAGACAAAACACACAAAAAGTTTGCAAGAATCAGAAACAATCCAAGAAGAAGCTAGAATTTTCATGATAGATATCTCAAAAACAGAGGCCTCTCACCACACATGCGAATCGTAACTGTTGTTCCGGTTATCACCCATCACAAAGACTGAATTTTCCGGTACCCTCTACAATATTGAATCAACAACCGAAATCAGAAATGAACAAAAGGTTTAAACTTTTGATTGAGAGGCAACGAGATGATACTTACGACTGGTGTCATGTCATAACCAGGAGGCTCAAAGATGAAACTTTCATTCCGTGCAACACCATTAACCATCAGTTTCCCATTATGAACCTACACATATTTCCCCCAAAACCAATAACCATCAAGCTTCACTATTAATGCAATGGTAAGAGTCAAAAGAATATGATCATACCTCAACAAGGTCACCTTCTTTTGCAACAATCCGTTTAATGAACACATCTGCATCAGTGTACCCAACTTCTTGAAGAACCGGTGGACTTTTGAAGATCACAATATCGTTTGCACAAGGCTTCCTGAAGTAATAACTCACCTGAACACACAAACATCCCCAAATCTTAGTAAAAAGTCACCAAAACCCATCTCTTTACCTCATCCTAACTCTCTTAAGATGTAAAAGTTTGAACATTTCTAATCAAAACACAAAACTAACATTGTATAGATTCCAAATCCTCTAAAAGTTCCAAACTTTGGTCTTGATTATACGAAATTAGGTGAAAATTGGAGTTCGGAAACAGTACCTTCTCTGCAACCAATCTGTCTCCGACGTCAAAAGTAGGATACATAGACAGAGAAGGAATGTATCTTGGTTCCGCAATAAAATACCGAAACGCAAGCGATACAGTTATGGCCAAGAACACAGTCTTGGCATCGTCCGACGTGAAATCAAGCCATTCCGGCAACAGCCTGTTTTTACCCTCCACCTCACCGCCATCGTCACCACCGTTATCTCCGCCGTCGCCTCCTCCGCCGTTACCGCCACCGGAATCTAACGGCGGCGCAGGCTTCGTTGTCTCGCCTGAGTCTTTGATTCCATAGCAACTCGGATTTCGCCGGTAGGTTTTACGGTTTGAATTCGTTCCTCTGGTGTTGAAATTGAAACGACGGCAAGAAACAAATTGGGAGTTTTGGGGGAGAGTAACACGAATTGGATTAATTGGGTTCTTAAAAAATCTGGAATTGGAATCATATGTGAGAAAGGATAGTGATGGAGTGGAGAAATGAAGAGATATCATCATCATCATCATCAACGAGCTAAAGCTTCAATTTTTTTTTTTTGCCTTCTTGAGTCAATTTTATGAGCTTATTTAATTTTTTTTTTAGTTATTAAATAATTCTCAAGAAACATCCCTCAAGTATGCTACTTTTTCAAAACCTGCAACAAGTTTTACTTTTTTATTCAAAAGATCCTTACCCTTACCCTAACTATATAAAGTATCTAGAAAGAAGGCAAGGTAGAAAAAAGTTACAAACTTTGAAGAATGTCGACAGTGTCCGATCTTTCTGAGGATTTGGTGGGGGAGATATTTTATAGGGTTCCATTGACTTCGCTGATGGCAGTACGATCTACTTGCAGAGATTGGAATGCTTTGTCTAATATTCATATTATGGGTAAAAAAGCAACTAGTAAGCAGTTTCTAGGGTTTAGGCTGAGGGATTCTAGAGTTTATTCAATGAAATTCAATCTCCAGGGAGTCCACAACGATTACGACATTGTTGATCCATGTATAAAGATAGTAAGTGTCCTTGGCCACCTTGAAATATCGAAACTACTCTCTCACTGCAACGGTTTAGTGTTATGCGTTACCGAAGATCTAAAGCTCTTGTTGTGGAATCCCTATTTGGGGCAAACCAGCTTGACCAAGAGGTCCAAGCCCTTGAAATATTTTAGCAGACATGACAAGTTTGGTCTTGGATACGACAACATAAAAGGCTACCACAAAATCTTGAGGGTTTATGAAAGAGAAGACGGCTCTCTCCGGTCGGGAATCTATGATTGTAACTCTAATTTATGGAGGCTTATTCGTGTCACTCCCGAGTGGGATATAAGGGATCATGTCAGCAGCATGTCCCTAAATGGAAATAATTACTTTCTTGCTCACGAGTACAGCACAAAGTATTGGTGGCTAAAAACGAACTATGTGTGGTGTTTACTTTGTTTTGATTATACAGCAGAGAGATTTGGACCGCTTCTTCCTCTTCCTTTTCAATCCTACTCTCATCATAGTTCAGAATCTGTGGCTTTATCTTGTGTTAGAGATGAGCAGCTCGCATTGCTATATATACGCAATGATGGGATAATGAAGATTTGGATTACGACTAAGATTGATCCCAACTCAGTATCGTGGAGCATGTTCTTGGAAGTGGATACGAGATCCTTCCCTCGTCGTCCGACTCTCTTTAAGGATGGCACTTTCTTTATTGACGATGAGAAGAAAGTCGCTGTTGTTTGCGGTTTCGGCGAACATAGACCGACCAAGAAATGTTGGTACCATACAGCTTACATCATTGGAGAAGATGGATACTTCAAATCTGTGGATATTGGAGAAACTCTTTCAGCAAATTTTTTCTACTGTAACCCGGTTATGTTCTCTTCTTATGTTCCAAGTTTAGTGCAACTAAAATGAAAAAAGAAAAAGAGATTAGCGACTAGTTGCATTTGCACTACTTTATTTTTGTTTCTTGTATCATCATCTCCTTTTGAACAAGATTACTTTATAGTCAATTATATTAAAGAAGTCGGCTTTTGCATGTTTTAAGCCTCTTTTCAATTCATTCTTGGTTTTGTGTTTTATGGATTGATTTATGCAATTTCTTCACAATTATTCATCTTCCCCATGTAGAATTTGTGTTCCTACAAATCTCCCATACTTGTGGTCGACAAACAGAGTTTCACAGTAGTTCTGTCTTTACGATGTGAAAAACATGCAATTTATCTTCAGTCTTGGATTATAAACTTCCATGAGTGTTTCTGAGATAAGACGTGCACTGTATTTTTTCTTCTTGAGTTTTTTGAAGTCAGTTTTTTTTTTCCTTTTAACTATGAAATTGTAATTCTCAAGAAAAATAATGTCTTTAACTTTTTATGCTAATTTTTCTAAAATCTGCAACAACTTTCCTTTTTATTTTCTCATAATATCTCTGAAATATATAACTCGAGTTTTAATTAGAGAGCTCTTTATTAGAAAGAGAGAGAAGGCACACGTAGAAAAAGTTACAAACTTTGAAGAATGTCGACAATGTCCGATCTTATTGATGATTTGGTAGGGGAGATACTCTCTAGGGTTACATTAATATCGCTGAAAGAAGTACGATTTACTTGCAAAAGATGGAACGTTTTATCTATCAATCACATTTTCTGTAAAGGACCAACAACAAGGAAGCAATTTCTAGGGTTTATGCTGAGTGATTCTAGAGTTTATTCACTGAAATTCGATCTCCAACGAATCGACAACGATTACGACATTGTTGATCCATCTATAAAGCAAGTAAGTGTACTTGGCCAAGTTGAAACATCTCAAGTCTTTCACTGCCACGGTTTATTGTTATTCGTTACCAAAGATCAAAAGCTCGTGTTGTGGAATCCCTATTTGGGGCAAACCATGTCGACCAAGAGGTCCAAGACTTTCAAATCTCTTAGCAGATATGAAAAGTTTGGTCTTGGATACGACAGCATAAACGGCTACCACAAAATCTTGAGGGTTTATGAAAGAAAAAACGGCTCTCTCCGGTCGGAAATCTATGATTGTAACTCTACATCGTGGAGGGTTCTTGGTGTCGTTCCCGAGTGGGATATAACTTATCATGACATCAGCATGTCTGTGAATGGAAATACTTACTTTCTTGCTCTAGAGAATGCAACAAAGGATTCAAAGATTGAAGAGGACGATGTGTTGTGGTCTTTACATTGTTTTGATTTCACAGCAGAGAGATTTGGACCGCTTCTTCCTCTTCCTTTTCAATCGCACGAGTATAGTTCAGAATCTGTGGCTTTATCTTGTGTTAGAGATGAGCAGCTCGCTTTGTTGTTTCTACGCAACCCTGAGGTGATGGAGTTTTGGATTACGACTAAGATTGATCCCAGCTCAGTATCATGGAGCAAGTTCTTGGAAGTGGATACGAGATCTTTCCCTTGGTTTCCGTCTGTCGTCATGGCTGGGGCTTTCTTTCTTGACGAGGCCGAGAAGAAAGCCGTTCTTGTTTCCAGTTTCCGCAAATATAGATCACCGACCAAGACCTGTTGCTACCAGACAGCTTACATCATTGGAGAAGATGGATACTTCAAATCTGAGGTTATCATTGGAGCTAGGCTTAGCAAAAAATGTGGATATTGTTTCCCGTTTGTGTTCACTTCTTATGTTCCAAGTTTAGTGCAACTGAAATAAATTCATTTGCAGAGTAGTTTTGTTTTTCTTTCTTGAATCATATCCTTTTGAAGAAGATTGAAGCTTTCTTATGGTTAAAAAAGGAAACCTTAAAACTCACATCAGCTGCTGCTACATTTTACTTGCAAACATATTAATCGAACACCACTGTGAATTATAAATCTATGATACTTGTTGTCAACAAACATAGAACATCTGTTTATTGAATACTCATGCAGTTTGAAACTTTCTTTAGTTTCTTTTAATGGAAAAAAAGGCATCATCTTAAAAGTTACATTTGCTGCTCCTGCTAAATTTAATTTTTAATAAAACTCAACTGTGAAAAATAATACTAGTTAACAAAATCTTCTTGTCTTTGGACTTGAAACTAGAAATAAAAAACAAAAACATAACCAGAAAATAAAGATTAAATTTTACCATTAATTAAGCCACAAATCCAAGCTGAACCTGGTTGAGTTCTATCAAGCAGCTGTCACGTTCTTGCCGTGAAGATTGTTCAACCCATACAATATCCGTTTTGTATCAAAGTCAATGTGCACATTGTATCAGACAAACATAATGCAAGAGAATGATTTGTCCAAATTTTCAAAAGCTACCAAAAGAAAACCAAACCAGAAATGGCTAGGGTTATGATTGACCTAATCAAATGCATGCAACCGTCATCTGTTTCGTTTCATCCAAGTACAACCAATATTCTTTCACAATTATTACTCACGGATAGGTCTTTAAAAGTCCTATGCTAGTTTTTCAAAATTTGCAATAACATTCTTAAAAAATAAAATATCTAAAATACAACTCGAATTGTAGAAGCTCTTTATTAATAGATGATTTTTGTTTCTTTTAAATAGAAAGTAATGTAGAAAAAGGAAAAGGTTTTCAAACGATCGTACCCTAACCCTAACTATATCTATATATAATCGTACCCTAACCCTAACTATATATATATATATATATATATATATATATATCTAATATGAAAAACAAAGCGTAGAAAAAAAAGGTTACGAACTTTGAAGAATGCCGACAGTGTCGGATCTTTCTGAGGATTTGGTAGGGGAGATATTTGCTACTGTTCCTTTTACATCGCTCAAGGCAGTATCTACTTGCAAAAATTGGAATGCTTTATACGGAAACCAGGTTTTTGGTAAAGGATCAACAACAAGGAAACAATTTCTAGGGTTTACGTTGATTGATTATAGAGTTTATTCAATGAAATTTGATCTCCAAGGAATTCTCAACGATCACGAGATTGGTGGTCCATCTATAAAGCAAGTAAGTGTACTTGGCCAAGTTGAAATATATAAACTCTTTCACTGCAAANAGCAACAAAGTTCACAAAGATGACAAGATACAATGGGAAGCTTGCTCTCATGTACTCTGATAAGTTTCGTAGTTACATTGGTAGGATCGAATTGTGGGTTTTAGAGGATGCTGCTAAACATGAATGGTCTAATACGATTTTTTCTTTGCCTCGTTTAGCTTGCTTGAAAACCATGTTTCAAGTGTATTGTGCCACTGATGATGATGATGCAGGAGAGTTTATTGTGGCGCCAGAAACTTTGGGCGCACCACCGTTTTATGTTTTGTATTATGATCCCAAGAAAAATAGCTTGAGAAGAGTCGATATTGAAGGGATCACAGAAACAAAGCTTGAGTATTGGGATAATGATTTGGATCGTCGTACAATATCTATCTTCCCTAGTCAGGTTGAGAATCTCATGTTCCTCTAAGAGTGCTCGTAGAACGTTTTTTTAAGTTCATGTATTTCCATTATTTGTAATATGTGCATTACTGCTTTTATCTTCCTTAATTTGAGGACTATTGTAGGTGAGAATATCTAAAGATTAAAAAACAAAAATTAGCAGAAGGTTACTGTTACTACCTTTTTCCAATTTTTTGTCCTAGTGAAAAGTATGGTAGGTGACTAGGTGATGAAGCTACTAGAAAGTTACTATCGAGCAATTTGTGTAATGTACTATTACGAACGTTTTACATTATGATTTGATTTATAACAATCTCGTCTCTGCAAGTTGTTAGTTAATCTCATATTTCTATAGCTACAGGTTTCATGATCTTTCTCTTTATTGGTGACAGTTTATAATATGTTCATAATGCTTGTGTAGTCTCACTATTTTTAACTTGGGCATCACGTTTCATCTTCTAAAATATTGAGAACGCGGAATTGTTTTTATCAAAACGCAAACCATATTCTGGCGCCAAAATAAAATTTGTTTTAGAAAAGGAAAAATAATTCTGCAAATTTTTCTGAAAATCATTCTAGATCTTAAATTCCTTTTAAACTTCATAAAAATTGGTAAGTATCCAAAAACAAAAACTTTCTGCCACTTTTCTATTGTGAGACCACAAAAATTGCAGCTTTTGTTTTTCCCTACGACGGCCATGAAAAGGGTAAAGAGAGCGAAGCTTGAACATGAAAGCAGAGGAATCTCTGACACAGACAGATCTCCTTCCGACTGATCTCATCATGGAGATATTCAAAAGATTACCGCTCAAAACCCTAGCAAGGTTTCTCTGCGTGTCGAAGCTTTGGGCATCATCCCTCATTCGCAGCCGATATTTCAAGAAACTGTTCCTCGCCGAGTCTTTGAAACGACCAGGTCGTCTCTTCTTCAACATCAGGCGCGGCAAAGCTTGCTGCTTTTATTCGTCGCTTCAAACCCAAAAACCAGGTAAAGCCTCTGTAGCTACTTACCACATGACACTTCCTTATCCTAGAGATAAGTTCACAATCATGTCTCCATCTGTTCACGGTTTGATTTGCCATAGAACTTTCTCTAGTCTCAAGATATACAACCCTAGTACGAGACGATCCATTACCTTGCCCGAGTTCCATGCTGAGAGGCCATGGTTAGACAACCATTACTTGGGTTATGATCCCATTGAGGGTGATTACAAGATATTGTGTATGACGACAGGAACAAATGGTTTAGCTCAAGATGTTCAGGTTTTGACAATTGGAGAAGGGAATCAATGGAGGATGATTGTGGATTGTCCTCCTCCTCACTCGCCTACAATTCCTCAGATATGTATAGAAGGGGTTTTATACTATGGAGCATGCACAAGAAGGCAGAACGGTTCTAAAGAACATGTGATCATTTGTTTTGATGTTCGGTCTGAAAAATTTGATCTTATTAAAGTACCACCAGAAAAAAAATTATACAAATATGACAAAATACAATGGAAAGCTTGCTATCATGTTCACTGGGTTTGGTTTGCTTAGTAATTACCCTGGTTCAGTCCATTTGTGTGTTTTAGAAGATGCTGCAAAACATGAATGGTCGTATAAGTGTTTCGGTTTGCCTAGTTTAGCTGGCTTTAGAAACTCGTTCCAGGTGTTTTGTGCCATTGATGAGACGGGCGAGTTTGTTTTGGCACCAAGAAATTTGGAGGCACCACCATTTTATGTTTTGTATTATGATCCCGAGAAAAAGAGCATGAGAAGAGTCGGCATTGAAGGAATCACCAAGTTTTGGCAAATTGGTCCCTACCCTCGTCATCAAACTCGTACAATCTTTATCTTCCCTGATCAGGTTGAGAATCTCATGTTTATCTGATAGTGCTGGCGGACCATCTTCATCTTTGTTCATCTAATTACTTGGAAGGTTTAATGATCACTTGGGGACTACTTGTTTGGTGTGTTTTTTTTTTATATTGTTTTTGGTTGCCATGTGGTGCAAGTTTTTGAATTTACTACTTGAACATGAACGTAGAGACTACATGAACATTTCGTAAAGATCCCTGTTGCTGTGCAGGTTTTTAATGTTCAGGTATTTAGAGTTTTGAATTTTGTGCTTATTGATTTTGTTTTTCCAGTTATAAATTACGCAGACAGTTCGTTTCTGTGTAGATTTGATGACTTTGATTTATTCGTAAAACGGCAGCATGTTTAACGTTTCACCGGTTAAGTAGATTCTGAAGCGTTTGAGAACGCTAAATTGTTTATCAAACGCAAACGCGACAAAAAGGTCTTCTTCTGTTCTCTCTCACTGTAGCAAAGTTTGAAACTTTTTTTATTGCGAGACAAAAAAATCGACACTTTCTGTTTTTTTCTCCGCCATGAAAAGAGACGGAGCGAAGCTCGCAAATGACACCATAAGAACATTTCACTACAATACTCGATCCTCTTCGAAACTCAATGGAAGCAGAGCAATCTCCGACACTGACAGAGTCGAGACCAGCGACGCAATCGTGGATTCAACATCACCACCGGCGTCACTTAGGGTTACACGGCGAAGGAAGAAGATTTCAGATGACCGGAGAGCAAGCTCAGTGGTGCTTCCGATTGACACCATCATTGAAGTATTCAAACGATTACCGGTCAAAACCCTAGCGAGGTTCCTCTGTTTGTCGAAGCTCTGGGCATCAATCATCCGCAGCCCAAATTTCAAGAAATTGTTCCTCGCCGTCGTCGCCGAGTCTTCGAATCGACCTGGTAGTCTCCTCTTCTACTTCCCGTACAGCGAAGGTAACTTCCTTTTGTCGTCGCTTCAAACACAGGATCCAGGTGAAGCCTCTGTAGCTACTTACCATATGCCGAATCCTGCGTATAAGCGGACAACGAATTTAACCTCTGTTCATGGTTTGATCTGCTATGAAACTGCTTGTGGCTCTGGGCTTGCCGTGTACAACTCCAGCACCAGAAGATCCATCACATTGCCCAAATTCGAACCCGGAAATTTTCTCATTCAACACTACTTAGGCTATGATCCTATCGATCATGTTTTCAAAGTGTTGTGTATCACCGGACCAATGACCGCATCAAAGATTCAGTTGGAGATGGCACAATCAAAGCTTGTTGCACAGGTTTTGACATTGGGAAGTGAGACTTCATGGAAGATGATTGAAGTGAGTCACACTCACTTTCCTTACAGTAGCCAGATATGTGTCAATGGTGTTGTCTATTATGTAGCTCGTGCTGGCGCAGAGTGCAAGGAAGTTGCGTACATGAGTTTTGATGTTAGGTCTGAAAAATTTGATCTTATTGAGAGACCTAGCGATTCTGTGGTTCAGGGTTCAACCCTGTTTAGGTACGAGGGGAAGCTAGCTATCGTGTCCAGGGAAGTTCCTGCTGATGGTAGTATTGCTATGTGGGTTCTAGAGGATGCAGTGAAACATGAATGGTCTAAGAAGGTTTTTGTTTTGCCTAACTCCTGGAGAAGATTAGCTCGGGGCAAGAGAACATCATTACATACGTTTCATCGTTTTGTTTCTGTCACCGACGCGGGTGAGCTTATTCTGGCACCGACAATTCTGTGTGTTCCTCGTCCAATATATTATGTTCTCTATTGTGATCCAGAAAGAAATAGGGTGAGAAAGGTTGAGATAGGAGGAATCACAGAGCATAACCTTAAGCTGCTACGTTGCAAGAAACGAAATTTTTGTTCGGTAATCCCTATCTTCTCTAGTCAGGGTGAGAGTCTCATGTTTCTGTAATAATCACTAGACACTAGACACCACAAGATGATGATGGTCTCCTTGTCATCCCCTTTGTTCTTTAGTTGTGGTTAGTTTGAATGTTTCATGATCCTTTGTCTCTATTTATATATTGGTGACAGTTTCTTTATGTTAATTATCTACTCCTTGTCTTTGGTCGCTAGTAGCAATTTGCCACTGTAATATTGTAGTCTTTCACATTTCCCATTTCTCCTTAAGGCATAGGATCTTAACCTTCACGTTGGTTTACATGCACATGGCGATCCGCTTTCTGATTTTTCTCCATCTCTTTTGCTCGGTTTAAATTCATTTGCTTCAATCTTCTACATGATGATTTGTTCTGTAAATGAGTTTTAGACCGGTCTTCACAGTGGAAGACTTGAAATCACCAATGAAAACACCAAAGTAGTTTGTTCAAGATTTTTCAAGTTACATTAGTTAATAGTACTAAACAGCATTCATCAAAGTACATCAGAGCCAAGAAAAAAGTCTTTTCAACTGCATCTAATCTAAAGTTTTCATTTTTTCAAAACAAAGAAGCTTAACTTTGAGCTCAAACATGTATTTTCCCTTCTTTAACTTATTAACTAAAACTGAAGCTCCACATCTTCAAGTTCTTGTTCAATCGTTGCTTTGCGTGACTTCATCTGATCTATCTCTTTGTTCGCCTCCTCTTTCATCCTTTGCAGCTCTAGAATCTTCTGTTCAATCTCATCATTTTCGCTCTCTTTCTCTGCAATCTCTTTCTCAACACCCTTGAGTTCCTCCATTTTCTTTGCTTGCCAATCTTTGAGAGACAAGAGCTTTTGGATCCGAGACTGAGGCTCTTCTACATCAAACCCGTTCTTCTCGAGGAAGGCAAAGGAATCTTTGAGGCCTTCCAATGTGCTTATTGGAGTGAGAAGTTGCAGACTTTTGACTTGTTCTAGTGACGCAGCATAGTTACACATCATACCAACCGCAGTCATTTCACGGTAATCTTCTTGAGTCTCCATCAATGGTCTGAAATGTGGTCTTTGTGGGAATGTTTTGAATGCTTCCATTGATTCAAATTTTTTCCAAATCGGCAACTTCTTCTCAAAAGGCAAAACCATTGTTGTTGTATCATTTGCTCCGGTTTCCTCCTCCACATTAGCAGTAGCACTAAGGTTCTCTTCTCTTTTCCTCTTTCGACTGTTATCTTCAATACTCTCCTGTATCCCAAAGATTGATGATAGTAATGATCAGTCACAATCAAAAACATTACTGAGAAAAGTAGAGTGTGATAATGCTAAAGCAGAGATTTCAGTTTACCTTCTCCATAGTTGAATCCTTTCCCAAAACATCCTCATTTGACATTTGCTCTAGTGTCTTCTCGTGAGACGTCTTTCCTTGAGCTTTGTCCTCTGTTTGTTTCGTCGGTGTACCACCAGAATCTTTTGCAAGAAGAAAAAAGAGACATGTTAGATCAGTGTCACGACGCATATATAAACAATGGTTATGAGAAACTACTTGAAAGGGTTATGACCAGAGAGTATCACCATTTATTACATCATCAACCATCTCATCGCCAGATTCTTGAGCTAACGACACTTCCCCTGACTGCAAATCATTTTGGAGATAACATATGCATGTTGCTAATTAGTTTAAGTTATTAGTTAAAATATGATTATAAGAAGTCACCACCAAACAAAATACTGAGAAAGTAAGAGTGATAATGCTATAAAGCAAAGATTTAAGTTTTACCTTTTCACCACTTGACTCATCTCCCAAACCATTCTCATTTGGCATTGGCTCAAGTGTCTTCTCATGGGACGACTTCTCTCCTTGAGCTATGTCCTCTGTTTGTTTTGTCGGTGTTGCATTTATGTCCGATGTGCCAGAATCTTTTGCAAGAAGAAAAAGAGCCAGGTTAGATTAGTTTCATGACGCATAAATAAACAAATGGTTAAGAGAAACTACTTGAAGTGTTATGACCAGAGAGTATTACCATTTCTTACATCATCAACCATCTCATTTCCAGATCCTTGAGCTAACGACGGTTCACTTGTCTGCAAATCATTAGGAAAGGATGAAAGGAGTGCAAGAATCACATCACTTTGAAGTCTTGAAAGCGAATCAAGAATTAAGTACCAAAAACACATCAAAAAGTTGAAAGCAAACACACACAGAGACAGAGAGAAAAGAGATGGGAACAGAATCTAACTCACAGCTACAGTTTCGTCCTCAGAAATGTCTGCTTCGCCATTTTCCACAGGACTCAAAGACCTTTGAGGAGTGAAAACGGCAGGGTTTACTTCGGTAGGCATTTGCTTAAAATGATAACAACATTGTACTTAATTAGCAGAGCAATAAACCAAAATCATCACATATATGGTCTCTCATACCAACTAAAACCTCTGAAAAACTCACCATGAACCGTTCAGATACTGACTCCACTGAAGGCCTTAGATCCGAGTGTTGGAACACAACCAACTCATTTGTCGCATCTAACCTCACAGTATACTTTTTCCCCCAGAAAATACGTTGCACTCTCCCTAGACGCCATCCTGGTCCTGGATCAGTAAACACTTCAACAGCTTCATTCAACGCATACGTTTCGACACAAAACGGATCCGGTACAGGCCTGATGCTGCGCGAACTAACTGTTCTGTTCGGTTTGGTCTCATCGTTCCAGCTCAAGTACTTGCAAGACTTGACAATAAAAGTCCGACCGTTATCCGTCTCCTTAACAACTATTGCCGGAATCCACATAACACCATTCCATTTCACCTTGACTTCCACCATTGTTCCACAACTAAAGCTAGAATTGTTACTCACTTCCTTCACAAAACCAAAAAATCAAACAAAACTGAGAAGAAACATACAGAGGAAACACAAAAGATCCAAAAGGGTTAATCAAAACCTCGTACCTTGTTCTGTGGTTTGACTTTGATCCATTTCCCTTTTGTCCATTTAAAGTGTTGTCTGAGTTGTTTTCTCTTGAACTGGATTAGATCTGGCGGAGAGTCGAAGAAAACCAAATGCTTGTCATCATCTAGCTTCTTGACAAACAAACCAGTCCACCACCCGTCTCTGTGAGCAGCCTCCACTACTGAGCCTTCCTCAAAATCGCCGGTGGAGAAGAGATTTTCCGGCGGGACTGGCCGGATAAATTTCCGGTAAGCTGTTTCCAGAAGAGGTGAGCCATTGTTGGCCTGCAAAGTCGAGTAGCGGACATTCAACTTTTTCTTTCGCCTTTTTGGATCGTCTTCGAGGATTGCTTTAAACCAAGCTCCTTTCAAGCCATCTTCATCAGAAGAGACCTCAATTTCACAATTTCTCAGTAAATTACTTTCATCTTTCCCCATAGTGTTGTAGATAAAAAAAGGAAAAAAATCCAACCTTTTTGGGTTTTTGAATCCCTTTTTTCAAACCCTAGAAACACTTTTCGTCTTCGGAAAAACCCAAACTTTAGAAGATGAAAAAATGTAACTCAATTTTTGTTTCTTTTTCCCCTGGGAGAAGAAAGAGAAAATTCTAAGAATCGAAAGAAACACACCATTTGCGTCATCAGTTGTCGTCACTTGTCAGAAACGTTGAATGCTTTTCTTTTTTTTTTGGCGCGATTTAAATTATGAAAATAAAAGAGAAAATATAGCTATTGGGCCTAAACTAACGAGCTGGACAATCAATTATTGCTACCTTGTAAAATGTGCTCTCAATGATCCATGATGCAACGGTCATTGGCTCATTGCTATACACTTTTTTGTTTTTTTTTGTCATTTTTGTAACTACTCCAAGATAATGAAAAACAGAGTTTAGGACTTTACAAGATCCCAAGAAGAAACATTCTAATCTGAGCAACTGTTCCTAGATACTCTCTCAAACCAGCAAAAAATATATTAGGCTTAAGAGACCAAAACACAGAGGTACTACTATACCACTAATACACTTGTAGTTTTTGTAATTTGTTTTTGATAAAAAAAACACATCTATTTTAATTCTTGTCAAAGAGTTTTCTAGGCGCTGAGCAGTCGGATAGGGCCTACCGCCGAATTAGTTAATAAGAGATTACATGGACAAATAGAGAAATTTTACCTAGATTTAAAAGTTAAAAAACGCGTCCCTGTAGGAGATTATAAATTAGTTAATTAGAGATTATGTATTTGTAATTTAAAGTAATAATTTTGTTTAAAATTCTAGAAATTTAAAGTTAAACGCGTAAAAAGAAATTTTTTAATTCTATTGTAGTAATTTAGAGATTTTCTCACTTATTAAGTTATACATATAACTAGTTTCATATACATGTTAGTGATAATGCTAAATTCAAGAAAAGCTCTTTAGGGAGCTATCCCTCAAATTTGTAAAATTATTAAAGATAAAATCAGTAAATTAAAACTATAAAAATGCAGAGCCTTTTTGAGGAGATTTATAGTTATGTAATATATACAAAAGTAATTAATATTACTCTAGGCAAGATACTGTATATTAGTATATAACATATGTATTTTGCTAATTAGTTTACATTCTCCTTGAACCTCTTATATACATTATTAGTTCAAAGTTTAAGATGGACGGCTTCCGATTAGACCCTGATATGATCATATCAAAAAGGCTATCAAATAGTGATGTTAACAAAAGTTACTGTCGGATGTTAATACCGAAAAGCCAAATGCTCTCTGTCTTAAGAAAGATGAGAAATGTTACAGATGATTGTCTGCGAAAGGGTGTTAAATTCGAAGTCTTAGACATTGTTAAAAACATGTCACACTTTGTTGTCTTAAAATACAATGACAAAGAAAATTATTATTTCGGATCTGGGTGGAGTACTGTGAGGCAAGTTTTAGACCTCAAAGCAGGCGAAGATTTCAAAGTGTATTGGGATTACTTAAATTACAAATTCATTCTTCTTAATTTTGAGTATAGCTTAATCAGTGATAGTGAATGATGTGATGTAGCGTGAATCATGATGATGTTTAAGGATTTCTCTTTTTTTTTTTTTATATGATCAATAAAAGTTGAATTTATATGTTTTGATGAAATCATTTGCATGTTTCTAAGAAGATTGAATTTATATATAAATGGATGTTAACATGGAAAACTACGACTCTTTGGTGAATAATTCACTTAACAATCCCGTTTTTGTGGGCACCGCGAAAAAAAAGGTTTTGAAATCGGTTGGCCAAGTAGTAGCTATTCCATGGCTAAATATTGGAGACTAGACTTATGTTTTCGAATAGGCATACATGCAAATAGCCACGAAAGTCCAGAGACCATTATTTTCACAAGTGATTGTGTTGTCATTTCAAATAATTATTATGTCAGAAAAGACCACGAAGGATATATGTGTCACCATCTAAGGCCAAAGTTATCAATATCTCGTGTATCATTCACATAGAATCTTACAATCTACGAGAGAAATAAACATCCCTAATATATTAAAAGAGAAAACACTAATTAAATAACATTTGTTCATTGTGTTATTAATAAGAAGTGTCCATTGCTGATGTGTCATCACCAGATTCACTCTCAGCCCAATTTCTAATTAAGACAAGCTTTACTAGAGAAATTACAAATTGTGCCATTGCATATTATGCTTACCATCCATTTATTATTATTTTCTTTCCTTAATTGACAATTACGAAAATAAGTAAATAAGAAGTTATGAAATTCAATTGAATTCTATCATAATATTTTTTTAAAAATCATTATATATCCCCTATCATCTTTGTTCAACTTTATTTTATGAAATAATATGAATCACAATATAAAAAAAACTAATAAAGAAAATCTAATTTTTTTTGTATATGCTATGATTTGAATTTTTTAAAACAAAATAATGTAAATTGTTTAGTATATAACCTCATTTAGTGTAACAATTATTCCATCTATTTCAACTTTCAATATAAAGTTAATTATATTTTTGTTATTTTAACAATTTAGATCATGCAGATTGTCTTCTTATTGGTTGATTTGTTTTGAAATTATAATAAAGCATGTTTTAGTTTTGAAAGAAAAGAAAAAAATAGTTCTAATCCATGTTTTAGTTTTGAAAAAAGAAAAAAAAATTGATTTTAATCCGTGTTTTAGTTTTAAAAGAAAGAAAATAATAATAATTATAATCTATGTGTACACAGCTAAACTTCTTATCTTATGAAAATACAGTATACATTTTTGTAAAGAATAATGTTTTATTTTCACTTTTTTGTTCTTTAAACTAACTTATTATACTGCAGTCATTTGAGTTTCATGTATCTTGCTTAAATCTATCATATTTAATATATGGCTACGTTCAAGACTTTAATATATTTACCTTTTTAAAAAATAGTTAAAATGCTTAATTTTCATATTATAAACGAATAAACGAGGGCAATAATCTAACAAATATTAAAAACCCGTCACATAAAATTTTGGAATATTTAAATAGACATTTTTAATAAATTACCAAAAAAATATCTTTTAATGAAAATATAAATTCAAAAACCATCATCCCGTGCAGGGCGCGAGTCAAACCCTAGTATTCTTTAAACCGTAAATATATTTTTTTAAGAGAGGTTAAACTTGTTTTTGGGTTTGGCGCAAAGAGAGCATTCATTTCTTTAGTTGAGCGTGTAAATTTATTGTGCATGTGTATGGAATGATCCAATCGAAAACACGGTGATGCAAAAACTGTCTGATAGCGACTTTATTTGAAAGGATTTATGGGAAATTATTAGGTATGGGGATGTGGAGCTTCGACAAGTCATCCGGCGATAATCAGGCTCAAGATGCAGATCATGGTAGAAGAAGTTACTCTGACATAAATGATGGGCGCCGATCAATATTGTGCACGTGGTAGAGAAGACTTTGACATAAGTGATGGATTCAAAGAATTCAAATGAAATCATGAATTCTTAATTTCATTTTGGGTTCAAGATGAACGAATTAAATTTTGTAATACCATTGACTCATAAAAAGTAATAAAGATGGACCGACCATAAGGTAATTAATCATTTCATTTTCAATATGTATAGGTTCTTTTCTTTCCATACTATGCAAATACTCCTCCCATCATCACACTTCTCCACATATATCCTTCCCGATCGATGACATGTCTTCTTGATCAATTAGAGCCTTTAGATATTACAATCTACGTTTTTTGAACTCCAACTAATTCTGTTTCATTGAGATAGTCCCTTTGTCTTAAAGTCTTCAAAACACTCTAAGCTTGTAAGAGTCTTTGAAGTTTTAACATATATCTGAACATGTTGACATTTAAAAAAGTGGCTGTAGTTTAGTGGTAAGAATTCCACGTTGTGGCCGTGGAGACCTGGGCTCGAATCCCAGCAGCCACATTTGTTTTTTGTTTTAGTGAATCAAAATTTGTGTTATCTGAGATTTTATATATAGAAATTAATATTTTGATATGCACTAATATATGATTTATATAGAGAATATCGTTTCGAAAAGTAAAATTACATGTTTCTATACGGTTTACAAAACAATATAATATAAAGTTCTCTTTTTTTTAGGAGAAAGAGACTAACACATCAATACTTTTGGGAAATTTACTTCCCAAATACATAGGGGATGAACTATTGAATTATTACAACAGGTCAATGATTTTTTCCATTGAGTTTATGAAACCAAGCTTCTCTTAGCAATTGTGACTTTGAGGCCACGTTTCATGTGAAGGACTATTGAAGAAGCTGGTTCGATCTTGTGCCCTTCAACGACCTTGATGTCATAGTTTTGTATGATCTCAACAGCCACTGTCTTCATCTGCAAGAAAGATAAATTTTTCCCCAAGCAATTTCTTGGGCCAGAGTTAAACACAAAGAACTTGAAAGAAGGTTCATGTTTTAAGCCTCCATTTCTCTCCGAGATCCATCTTTCTGGCTTGAATTCACACGCGTCCTCTCCCCACACGGCTTTCATTCTCCCCAACGCATAGACAGAGAACAGAATCTTCCAATTTGCATCTACTTTGTGTCCACTTGGAAGCATATCTTGCTTTATGGGAGACTTCCGCTCGAAAGGGATTGGAGCGTAAAGCCTTAATGCTTCACACAATGCACCATGTAGATATACCATCTTGTTTAACTTGTCTGGATCCAAACTCTTGCCGGAACGTGGTGAATTTGTGTTGATCTCTTCACGGATCTTGATCACAGCGTCAGGGTTCTTGGAGAGAAGCCAGAAGAACCAAGTGAGAGTTGTTGCAATGGCGTCTCTTCCGGCAAGCATGAAACTCTTGATGATGTCTTTGAGGAAGTTATCGTCTTTTGGGTTCAAAAGCTCATACTTGGAAGTATCTAACTTCATGTAGAAGCTTAATAAATCCTCATCATGAGCCCAATACTTATCCAAACATGGATTAATAGCTTCTCACATGACTATGAGGACAAACATGAGTGAAACGGTCTCAATCCAAGGGAGGAACATCAAATGGACCAAATTTGGGAACCGGAAGAGGTAAGGAGTCCGAAATGTACCTCTGTGACTCCAGATTGAGGAAACTCACTTGTAGTGTATAAGATGAACTAGATGGACCCATACTTACCCAAACATGGATTAATAGCTTCTACATGACTATGAGGACAAACATGAGTGAAACGGTCTCAATCCAAGGGAGGAACATCAAATGGACCTAATTTGGGAACCGGAAGAGGTAAGGAGTCCGAAATGTACCTCTGTGACTCCAGATTGAGGAAACTCACTTGTAGTGTATAAGATGAACTAGATGGACCCATACTTACCCAAACATGGATTAATAGCTTCTATACATGACTATGAGGACAAACATGAGTGAAACGGTCTCAATCCAAGGGAGGAACATCAAATGGACCTAATTTGGGAACCGGAAGAGGTAAGGAGTCCGAAATGTACCTCTGTGACTCCAGATTGAGGAAACTCACTTGTAGTGTATAAGATGAACTAGATGGACCCATACTTACCCAAACATGGATTAATAGGTTCTACATTACTATGAGGACAAACATGAGTGAAACGGTCTCAATCCAAGGGAGGAACATCAAATGGACCAAATTTGGGAACCGGAAGAGGTAAGGAGTCCGAAATGTACCTCTGTGACTCCAGATTGAGGAAACTCACTTGTAGTGTATAAGATGAACAAGATGGACCCATACTTACCCAAACATGGATTAATAGCTTCTATACATGACTATGAGGACAAACATGAGTGAAACGGTCTCAATCCAAGGGAGGAACATCAAATGGACCAAATTTGGGAACCGGAAGAGGTAAGGAGTCCGAAATGTACCTCTGTGACTCCAGATTGAGGAAACTCACTTGTAGTGTATAAGATGAACAAGATGGACCCATACTTACCCAAACATGGATTAATAGCTTCTATACATGACTATGAGGACAAACATGAGTGAAACGGTCTCAATCCAAGGGAGGAACATCAAATGGACCAATTTGGGAACCGGAAGAGGTAAGGAGTCCGAAATGTACCTCTGTGACTCCAGATTGAGGAAACTCACTTGTAGTGTATAAGATGAACAAGATGGACCCATACTTACCCAAACATGGATTAATAGCTTCTATACATGACTATGAGGACAAACATGAGTGAAACGGTCTCAATCCAAGGGAGGAACATCAAATGGACCAAATTTGGGAACCGGAAGAGGTAAGGAGTCCGAAATGTACCTCTGTGACTCCAGATTGAGGAAACTCACTTGTAGTGTATAAGATGAACAAGATGGACCCATACTTACCCAAACATGGATTAATAGCTTCTACATGACTATGAGGACAAACATGAGTGAAACGGTCTCAATCCAAGGGAGGAACATCAAATGGACCAAATTTGGGAACCGGAAGAGGTAAGGAGTCCGAAATGTACCTCTGTGACTCCAGATTGAGGAAACTCACTTGTAGTGTATAAGATGAACTAGATGGACCCATACTTACCCAAACATGGATTAATAGCTTCTATACATGACTATGAGGACAAACATGAGTGAAACGGTCTCAATCCAAGGGAGGAACATCAAATGGACCAAATTTGGGAACCGGAAGAGGTAAGGAGTCCGAAATGTACCTCTGTGACTCCAGATTGAGGAAACTCACTTGTAGTGTATAAGATGAACAAGATGGACCCATACTTACCCAAACATGGATTAATAGCTTCTATACATGACTATGAGGACAAACATGAGTGAAACGGTCTCAATCCAAGGGAGGAACATCAAATGGACCAAATTTGGGAACCGGAAGAGGTAAGGAGTCCGAAATGTACCTCTGTGACTCCAGATTGAGGAAACTCACTTGTAGTGTATAAGATGAACTAGATGGACCCATACTTACCCAAACATGGATTAATAGCTTCTATACATGACTATGAGGACAAACATGAGTGAAACGGTCTCAATCCAAGGGAGGAACATCAAATGGACCAATTTGGGAACCGGAAGAGGTAAGGAGTCCGAAATGTACCTCTGTGACTCCAGATTGAGGAAACTCACTTGTAGTGTATAAGATGAACAAGATGGACCCATACTTACCCAAACATGGATTAATAGCTTCTATACATGACTATGAGGACAAACATGAGTGAAACGGTCTCAATCCAAGGGAGGAACATCAAATGGACCAAATTTGGGAACCGGAAGAGGTAAGGAGTCCGAAATGTACCTCTGTGACTCCAGATTGAGGAAACTCACTTGTAGTGTATAAGATGAACTAGATGGACCCATACTTACCCAAACATGGATTAATAGGTTCTATACATGACTATGAGGACAAACATGAGTGAAACGGTCTCAATCCAAGGGAGGAACATCAAATGGACCAAATTTGGGAACCGGAAGAGGTAAGGAGTCCGAAATGTACCTCTGTGACTCCAGATTGAGGAAACTCACTTGTAGTGTATAAGATGAACAAGATGGACCCATACTTACCCAAACATGGATTAATAGCTTCTATACATGACTATGAGGACAAACATGAGTGAAACGGTCTCAATCCAAGGGAGGAACATCAAATGGACCAAATTTGGGAACCGGAAGAGGTAAGGAGTCCGAAATGTACCTCTGTGACTCCAGATTGAGGAAACTCACTTGTAGTGTATAAGATGAACTAAGATGGACCCATACTTACCCAAACATGGATTAATAGGTTCTATACATGACTATGAGGACAAACATGAGTGAAACGGTCTCAATCCAAGGGAGGAACATCAAATGGACCAATTTGGGAACCGGAAGAGGTAAGGAGTCCGAAATGTACCTCTGTGACTCCAGATTGAGGAAACTCACTTGTAGTGTATAAGATGAACAAGATGGACCCATACTTACCCAAACATGGATTAATAGCTTCTATACATGACTATGAGGACAAACATGAGTGAAACGGTCTCAATCCAAGGGAGGAACATCAAATGGACCAAATTTGGGAACCGGAAGAGGTAAGGAGTCCGAAATGTACCTCTGTGACTCCAGATTGAGGAAACTCACTTGTAGTGTATAAGATGAACTAGATGGACCCATACTTACCCAAACATGGATTAATAGGTTCTACATTACTATGAGGACAAACATGAGTGAAACGGTCTCAATCCAAGGGAGGAACATCAAATGGACCAAATTTGGGAACCGGAAGAGGTAAGGAGTCCGAAATGTACCTCTGTGACTCCAGATTGAGGAAACTCACTTGTAGTGTATAAGATGAACAAGATGGACCCATACTTACCCAAACATGGATTAATAGCTTCTACATGACTATGAGGACAAACATGAGTGAAACGGTCTCAATCCAAGGGAGGAACATCAAATGGACCAAATTTGGGAACCGGAAGAGGTAAGGAGTCCGAAATGTACCTCTGTGACTCCAGATTGAGGAAACTCACTTGTAGTGTATAAGATGAACTAGATGGACCCATACTTACCCAAACATGGATTAATAGGTTCTATACATGACTATGAGGACAAACATGAGTGAAACGGTCTCAATCCAAGGGAGGAACATCAAATGGACCAAATTTGGGAACCGGAAGAGGTAAGGAGTCCGAAATGTACCTCTGTGACTCCAGATTGAGGAAACTCACTTGTAGTGTATAAGATGAACTAGATGGACCCATACTTACCCAAACATGGATTAATAGCTTCTATACATGACTATGAGGACAAACATGAGTGAAACGGTCTCAATCCAAGGGAGGAACATCAAATGGACCAAATTTGGGAACCGGAAGAGGTAAGGAGTCCGAAATGTACCTCTGTGACTCCAGATTGAGGAAACTCACTTGTAGTGTATAAGATGAACAAGATGGACCCATACTTACCCAAACATGGATTAATAGCTTCTATACATGACTATGAGGACAAACATGAGTGAAACGGTCTCAATCCAAGGGAGGAACATCAAATGGACCAAATTTGGGAACCGGAAGAGGTAAGGAGTCCGAAATGTACCTCTGTGACTCCAGATTGAGGAAACTCACTTGTAGTGTATAAGATGAACAAGATGGACCCATACTTACCCAAACATGGATTAATAGCTTCTATACATGACTATGAGGACAAACATGAGTGAAACGGTCTCAATCCAAGGGAGGAACATCAAATGGACCAAATTTGGGAACCGGAAGAGGTAAGGAGTCCGAAATGTACCTCTGTGACTCCAGATTGAGGAAACTCACTTGTAGTGTATAAGATGAACTAGATGGACCCATACTTACCCAAACATGGATTAATAGGTTCTATACATGACTATGAGGACAAACATGAGTGAAACGGTCTCAATCCAAGGGAGGAACATCAAATGGACCAAATTTGGGAACCGGAAGAGGTAAGGAGTCCGAAATGTACCTCTGTGACTCCAGATTGAGGAAACTCACTTGTAGTGTATAAGATGAACAAGATGGACCCATACTTACCCAAACATGGATTAATAGCTTCTATACATGACTATGAGGACAAACATGAGTGAAACGGTCTCAATCCAAGGGAGGAACATCAAATGGACCAAATTTGGGAACCGGAAGAGGTAAGGAGTCCGAAATGTACCTCTGTGACTCCAGATTGAGGAAACTCACTTGTAGTGTATAAGATGAACTAGATGGACCCATACTTACCCAAACATGGATTAATAGCTTCTATACATGACTATGAGGACAAACATGAGTGAAACGGTCTCAATCCAAGGGAGGAACATCAAATGGACCAAATTTGGGAACCGGAAGAGGTAAGGAGTCCGAAATGTACCTCTGTGACTCCAGATTGAGGAAACTCACTTGTAGTGTATAAGATGAACTAGATGGACCCATACTTACCCAAACATGGATTAATAGCTTC